AAAAGGAGTTACAGTGTATACAGCTACGAGAACAGCACCACAAAACCTGCCAAAGAGACTAGGTCTGCCATTAGACCTCTACATCCCCCGCCATGGCGATCAACCTTGCCCCACCGTCATACGTTTCGTCCCGTTCTGCGTACCCAAACTGACCCTTTTTAACGAGTTGATCCCATCCATGACCGACGCCCATGACCTTTCTCCCAAACACGCGCACTCGACTCTCTTCCTTTAGTTTCGTCCGCAACTCTTCCGCACCGCGCATGAGATGATCGTATTGGGCCGTATAGATGGTGACGATGGGCGAAAAGTCTTCTGGGTCCGCGTTCAAGGTGGACACGATGGGCCTATGAACCAACTCTTCTTTTCTCCTCTTTTCCTCCTCCCACGAGAGGCCCGTGTTCCGCTTGGGGGGGAACAAGTGTGCATTGGTGATGTATTTCGAGAACCAGAGAGGGAGGACCATTCCAGGTAGCTCCTTGACCTCCTTTGGAACTCGAACGACCTCTCTGGGTCCTTCCCACGTGGCGACCGGATAGACGGAAAAGACGGCTCGGATAGGATGAACAAATTTTTCGTCGGGGACGCCCTCGGAACGGGCCCTCATTCGCGCTTCGTGGCCCACTTCGACGCTGAGACCGAGCGCGATGGACCCTCCCGCGCTGAACCCACCGACGGTGATCTTGTTGGGGTCGTAGAGGTCTGGATTCTGGAGGACATAGTCGTACACGTCTCGCGCGTCTTCCGCGTCCATCGGACACGGGTATTCTGGCGATTTCGCATAGTCGCAATCGAGAATGGTAAGTGGGTACGAGGTCATCGATGGGTGACGAAGCGTCTGGCGAATAAACTCGGAATCCGACCCGAGTCCTGGTAAGATCCATCCAGAGCCTAGAGAGAGTAGAGAGAGGTGAGTACGCTTACGATTACGCTGACTGCAGCGGGGAAAAGGAAGAGGGGCTCGTCGGTGTCGGCGACCGAGGGTGGGCGAAAGCGAGGGCAGTGGCAGTGGGGGGTTACACCAATCAAGGATATGATGGGGATCAACGTTGGTCCTACTCACCATGCCAATTGAGGTGGACAGCCGTCGGTTTTTCGCTCCCAAGTGCGGCCGCGTTCTTGTGGACGTGGACCCGTATCGTTCGTCCACGTCCCGACCGCGAGGGAATCTTCAGTTTCGACACGGGTTTGGCCAGTTTGGGGAGTTCGCCCACGGCTCGACCTAATTTTTCGCCATATTCGGTACCAAATCGCATGATCTTGATGGGGATCAATAGTCGATAGTAGGCCCAATGGCTCGACGAGTGGTTTGCATCTGCAATCGACATTAATGGCGAGGGGGATCAAACAGGTAATTAGACGACGCTGGAGATTAAGAGACGACGTTGAAGGCTACGTGCGTAGTCAAACGGCTTGCGCTCGACGGGAGAAGCAATCGGTATCGGGGGTAATGGTAATGGGAGAAAGAGACGCCAAAAACCACCGACGTCCACGGGGCTTTAAAGGGCCTTCAGCCCAACCGCCGTAAAAATAGCAACTTGCAATAATCAAAAGAAATATTACCCAAAATACGCCCAATTACGGCTCCAAATCGCCGTTGCCCTGAGAACTGAGAACTGGACCGCCCGTCCCCTCATCGCCGTCTCCGCCAATCCCCGCAAAAAGCCTGCGCCATAAAAAATGAGGTCTTGCCCGGATTCGAACCGGGGTTAATGGAAATTTTGAACGCAATCAAAATCCACTGTGATAACCACTACACTACAAAACCTTCGGATTATTTGTAGGAACTTTACATGAACTGCAGCTTATTTTTTCTAGAATTTTCCTCGTAATTTATAGGGGCTTTCCACTTCCCAAAAGTGGTTG